ATCCTAGGCCTCTAGTGCATTATATAAACCGAGGCCAGGCTAGTCGATAGACATATACAACGAACAACAATCATACCATAGGCTAGCTTCTAGGGTTTAGCCTCTTTGATCTCGTGGTAGATCCACTCTTGTAACACACATCATCAATATTAATCAAGCAGGACGTAGGGTTTTACCTCCATCAAGAGGGCCCAAACCTGGTTAAAACATCGTGTCCCTTGTCTCCTGTTACCATCCGCCTAGACGCACAGTTCGGGACCCCCTACCCGAGATCCGCCGGTTTTGACACCGACAGGGGGTCTGCTCGTCAAGGTGGCTACGGCCTAGGGTTTGTGCTCGGGCGGATCGGATCTGGGCCCGAGGCGGAACATAGATCTTGCGTTGGTGCGGTGGTCGATGATGGTGGTGGTCGTGATACCGTTGCATGGCCGCGTGGATCGACGCCGGTGACCACGAACATGGCGTCGTGCGTGCTAGCTTGGGTCGGTGCTGGGGGCTTCTCATCGATGGCCGTCGGCAGTCACGGATTCGTGTTCCCCCAATCCACCAGGATTGGCTGGGTAGCTGGCATGGGTGCCTCCTACAGTGGAGGTACCTACCCAGACTCGGTGACTAATGCCAGGCTAGGAGTAGGGGGGCGTGCCTCTGCTCTTCCTACCGTGGCCAAGTGTGTATGAAGCGAGCGATGGACTATGTCTTGCAACAGGGATGTCGGGGCGGCGGCCCCGGATGGCGGTCCTCATGGTATGCTCGTCGGCGACACCAGTGAAAACATCATCGAGGTTCCTTTTTCCTTGCTAGTGCTTCAGATGAAAACCTATGTCCGTTCTGGACTCGGCAGCGGCAACGCTCTGCCCGTTCCCCCTCTTGAAGGCATTGTCATGGAACTTAGGTGTAGGTAGCAATGTGGCGGTGTGTTTAGATCTTCTTGTGTTCTTTGTTGGTAGCGTGGCCACGTGCGTTCTGCGTGATCCAATTATCATAGCATCAACTTTGTAAGAGGGCAATCTCATCATCTTGTATCATTCGACCGTGTTGTATTCAGTTGTTTTTTTTAAAGCAAAGCAAGGCTTTATTAATCAACGGTGATTGGGCATATCGCCCAGTACACACTCAGCCACAGAGGCTGGAACATCCGACACCCACTCCGAGTAGTGGTGAGGTTCAAACGCACGCCCAATGGAGGCTAGTTCGTGCGCTACAGAATTGGCATTTCGCCTACACACAGAAACAGAAAACTGGGAAAACCAAAGATTAAGTTGGTATTTCATGTCTTCAACGACAGCAGCGTAAGCTGAAGAATCGAATCTCCGCAGGTCCATGGCTTCTGAAACCAGTTGGGAATCCGTCTCGAACTGCACCCGGGTCAGTCCCATCTCGGCGGCTGTGGTTATGGCATGTGACATTGCAAATATTTCAGCAGCAAAAGCGTCGTGGGCGTGTTCCTGTCTTCCCGCTCTAGCAACAGCAAGGATGCCACTACTGTCCCGGACAGCGACGCCCCAGCCAGCATGTGATTGCCCAGGCACAAAGGAACCGTCAATGTTGGTCTTGTAAACATCATCCGCTGGAGGTTGCCACTTGTCAGCTGGGGCTTTGGTACGAACAGAAGCAAAGATTTGCCCGTACTCCAGCAGCCTAGTCCTGGTGCTACGCGCCACCTCCGCAGCCGAGATCGGTAGTGCCCCTTCTCGAAGCTTATTTCGGTTGGACCACCACTGCCACCAGAAGGTAAGGATTTGAAGGCGCTTTTCCTCATCTAGTCCCCACAAAAAGTCTAGCATAGCATGCACGGATGTTATCTCCTCAAGGACTAGGCGTTCATTCTCCAAAGCCAAATCTCGCCAAACCTCCTTTGCTGCTTTGCATTTTATGAAGAGATGTGCACCGTCCTCAGCCGCTCTACCGCAGAACAAGCAGCTAGTGTCCTGGATGGGTATCCCTTTACGTGCAACATTCGTTCGTAGGGCTAACGATTCATGTTTCAGGCGCCAAGTAAACATTTGAATGTTCCTAGGGCATGGCATCTTCCATATTCTCTTTCATGAAATATCATCTGTTTTATCAAAAATCCCAGGCGCCCTCGTGCTCATGCCTTGACCTCCGGATCTACGTAACTCCTCCAGTTGTACTTGAAGCTTATACGCACTTTTCACCGTGCGCAAGCCCTTACTGTCATACTGCCAGGCAATGAAATCCTGAACCCCTTCGCGCAAAGGAATCTGTAGTATGTGCTTGACATCATCAGGCCAAAAAGTCTCCCTCACTAGCTGTTCATCCCACATTCCAGTTGTTGGATCAATCAGGTCACTAACTCTCTCCAACAGGTTGTGTCGGCGGGGCGTAATGACCCTTCACGACCACGGACGAGGTATCCATGGATCTGACTAGATCCTAACTGCAGTACCGTCCCCGATCCTCCACACATACCCCTCCTAAAACAACTTTTGTCCGTGCAGAAGACTACGCCATGTGTAGGAGATGCCATCCTTCGGCTCCGCCTCTAGTATGTGTTTTTGTGGATAGTACCGAGCCTGCAAGATCCTTGCACATAGCGACTCTGGGCATTGAATTAGTCTCCAGATTTGCCGTGACAACATTGCCAGGTTGAAGCCGTGCATGTCCCGGAAGCCGAGCCCACCATGGCATTTGGGTTCGGTTAACTTCTTCCAGCTGATCCAGTGGGTCGTATTTTCCTTGTCCTGCTGACTCCACCAGTAGTTGCCAATAAGCGAGCTAATCTCATCACAGAAGGTTTTTGTGAGGTAGAAACACGACATGGCAAAAGTGGGTATGGCCTGGGCTACTGTAGTAACCAGCGTTTCTTTCCCCACCTTCGCAATGAGCTTCTCCTTCCATCCATATACTCTTCCTGCGATAGCATTCTTAACAAAACCAAAAGCTTTCTTCCGTGATTTGCCAACATGAACCGGTAGACCGAGATACTTATCATTCCAATTTTCACTCTGTATTTGTAGTGCATCCTTGACAGCTACTTTCACCTCCTCCCTGGAGTTTGGACTGAACATAATGGCTAACTTCTCCAAGTTAATACACTGACCAGAGCAAACCTCATACAGATCCAGAATCTCCCGAAGAGCTTGGGCCTCCTCCTCCTTGGCTTTGAGCAACAAAACTGAGTCGTCCGCGAAGAGGAGGTGCGACACCACTGGCGCTCCTTGGCAGATCCGAATGCCAGACAGCTTCCCGGCCCTCTCTGCATCATGTAGAAGTGCCGAGAGTCCTTCGGCGCATATCACAAAGAGATAAGAAGACAGAGGATCGCCTTGACGGAGGCCTCGCGTGGGCATAAACTGTTCGGTAAGCACTCCATTCACCTTAATCTGGTAGCGTACAGTCGTAACACAATTCATGACTAGATCGATCCATCTTGTGTGAAACCCAAGCTTATGAAGCATAGCCCTCAAGAAGTCCCACTCAACCCTGTCATACGCTTTGCTCATGTCTGCCTTGACCGCAGCAACTCCTTCTTGTCCTTTCTTCTTATTGAGAAGGTAGTGTGACAATTCATAGGCAATTAACACATTGTCAGTGATCAGCCTCCCCGGGACAAAGGCACTTTGGTTGTCTGATATAATCTCAGGAAGGACAAGCTTCAAGCGATTTTGGTCCAAACAAATTAACAAACATTTTAAATAGCGCGCTATAGCTCCGCTATAGCACGCTATAATATTTGGAAGAGGTCCGCCGCTAAGATGCTTAGCGCACTATTTAAAACTATGCTTTAGAGACTAACTTGTAGATGACGTTGCAAAGACTAATAGGCCTGAGATCTTTGATTCTGTTTGGATTTTTAACTTTGGGTATTCGGTTGTTGTTTTATATATAAAGCAGGGTGAAAGCCTGTTTCTAGGAGAAGGTTCACAATACGGGAGGGTAGTGAATTTTTTTTTCCGTACGTGAAGCCGCGGATGCTCGTCGTGTATGTAGTCGCAGCGAAGCAGCTAGAGCGTGACGTGCACGTACGCCGTCCAGCGGAACAAATGCCAAGCAGCAGACCATCCCAAAAAACATGCCAAACAGCACACCATTTTTTCTTCTTCTTGACAACACCAAGCAACACACTTTTTTTTGGAAGGAAACCACGTGTTCATAATAAATCATGAGTACAACACAACACGCGGTCCAATTCTAGACGAGTAAATAGCATAAAACTACTACTTTACAGGCTAGGGTTTCAAAAAACTATCAATTTTAATTTTTTTTCAGATACCTACCAAATGGGTGGTCGGCTGTTTTAAAAAACCCAAAATATCGAGTGATTTAAAGTTGATCGCGATTATGACACGTCGGGCCCACACCTAAACGATCTGTCTGTTTGACCGTTAGGTTGACCGTTATCTTACAAGTGGGGCCCAAATGTCAGTGTCTCTTGTCTTGGGTGTGGGTGTGAATTTTGGTGCTCTCCCTCTGAGTTTGTTAACTGAAATGCATTGCGTCTTTTGTCCCCTGATGAGTATGGCGGTTGACATATTTGCCGACTGAATATGTTGATTTCCTTTGCCCATGGTTGATTTCCTTTGCTGTAACCCTCTGAGTTTGTTAACTGAATATGCATTGCGTCTTTTGTCCCCTCATGATGGTTGATTTCCTTTGCTGCAATCGCCATGTGTTGTAATCGTGCAAATTTGTGTAATTGGTATGCTTCAAGCACATAAGAGCAATTTCAAATATTTTTTGAGTGCCATTGAAACACATATTACCAGATTAACAGAAACAGACACAAACTGACACGAATATCTGGTACAGAAAATACTAAATTCACAAAACAAACACCACACGAGTACAGCATAACTTTAGTCGACAGCACACTAAATATACTAAATTCACAAAACCGAGCAAAGCTACGGTCAAAACAAACACCAACAACTCACACGAGATATATATCCTTAAAGTCCACCAAATATAGTTGGACTGGTACAGAAAATACTAAATTCACAAAATACAACAAATCAAAAACAGCCTCCTCGCCATATATCTTATAATAATACACATCCTTGTACCGAGATGTCCCACTTCTCAGAAACCAGACTGGACCATGCAACAGTGATCTCCAACTCAATGCCTCCAGTGAGTTTACATGTTTGCTTGCTTATGTTGGAAAACTTGGGCTTGAAGGACTCATTTTTTTGTGCAACTTTATTACCGGAATCTGAGTAGGCTTCCAAGACAAAATTCAGGCTTCCACGATAGTCTACGGAGACAACATTCCTTGATAGAACAAGGTAACCCTGAGAAGTCATCGGCATGGCTGTATAACGAGAATCAAGCAGCTCAATTTCCTGAGGACTGGCGTCAGGTCCAGTGACTGAGCAAGCAACTCGACCTCCAAATGCTTTAGGCCATGACCCCTCCTCTTTGACACGGACGCCCAAAATAGTCGCCTGGACTGTTCTCTGAAGTCCCTCCAAACTTAACTCTACGGTGCAAAAGCAGTTCCTAAAGCAAATGGGGCCTTCTCTTCTGCTGTAGTAACTGCACACGCCATTCATCAGTGGCATATCTTGAGACTTGGTTCTACCTCTTACTTTTAGTTGGATTTCCAGGACAACAGATTCCTCGCTGACAATTGCACGAGAGGGGCCAGTCAAGGTCAAAAAGGAATCCTGCAAGCATCAGCAATCACCTTATTAGCAACTGATAAACAAGAGGATCCCCAAAACCAAACCAAGAGCACATTGATAAGATTAAGATGGTACAGATAGATACCTCTTCATTGAGTATCTGGCACTCACTCCTGTTGCGGGCAAACAGAAGGTTACGATTGTGATCCACATGGTCTCGGGCAGCGACCGTGCCGTACACTGGCAACGGCCATTCCAGACCACCTCGTATTTCTGCGAGTTTAATGGAGAAGATCTGCAGGCTAGGCCCGACTCGACCATAGTGCAACGGGGTGCTCCCTGGTATCAAGTGTGTGTATTGCATGGAACTCACTGCCGCTGCATGCATCAGAACAAGATCAATGGAAGCAGGTGTTAGAAATCTTGTAACATGAACAGGTACCAGATAAGCAACAAAGTAATTCCCTCCACTTCCCTTATGCAAAGAAGTACGACCAAAGGTAAAAAGGAGGAAGGAAACTAGATAACCGAAGTTCAGTAAGATAAGCATGCATGTTTACTCACTCATGTCTCGGAAGCAACCGAACCCATCAGAACCCCCCCATGTCCCTTCCCAGGCATCAACATACATGTCAAAACTCTTCTGTTCGGCAGCCATCTCCTTGGCCTCAATTTTTAATTGTTCGTCTGATTTGCCTCTATACATCTTCTCAACATCGTAACCTGTGTTGGCGGCAACAGAATCTGCAGGTTCGAGTATTGACTTGTCTGATACGAACATGGAGGTACTCGATTCATTCGCCAATTCACTGGTATCCAGACTCACCGCCAACTCTGTTTCTGCCTCTGGCCCCACCTCCGATGTCAATTTCGAGTCTATCTTCGGCACCTGCTGCTCCATTGATGCAACGTCCCAGTCCTGCTCCTCGTTACCAACACATCCCTGTACCGAAATATCCCGCTTCTCACAAACAAGACTAGACCAAGCAACAGTGATCTCCAACTCAATACCATTAAGTTCACAACTATCCTGACTTATGTTGCAAAGTTTGGGTTCGAAGGACAATTCTTTTTGTGCAATGATATCACCAGATGGTAAGCAGGCCTCTAGGAGAAAATTCAGGCTCTTGTTAACATCTACAGAAATGACATTCCTTGACAGAAGAAGGTAACCCTTAGAAGTCACGGGCATGGCACTGCCACGAGAAACAAGCAGCTCAAGTTGCCCGGGTGTGTCGTCAATTTCACCATCAATGACTGAGCAAGCGACTCGACCTCCCCATCCAGAAGGCCATGACCCATCTTTGACACGGACGCCCAAAACAGTGGCCTGGACTGCTTCCTGAAGTACCTCCAATCTAAACTCTACAGTGCAGAAGCAGTTGGTAAAGCAAACAGTATCATCCCCTCTGTTGTAAGTGCACACACCAGTGATCAATGCTCTATCTTGAGACTCTGCTGTACCTCTTACTTTCAGTTGGATTTCAAAGTCAACCGATTCCTCGCACACAATTGCACGGGAGGGGCCAGTCAAGGCCAAAAAGGGCTCCTGCAAGCATCATCGATCACCTTATTAGCTACTGACAAATATGAAGGCCCAGGAAGGCAAACAATATCCGCAAAAGAAAGCGAAGAGCATATTAAGATGGTATACATACCTCTTCCTTGAGTATCTGACAGCTGCTCCTATAGCAGACAAACAGAAGGTTGCGATTGTGATCCACGTGGTCTCTGACAGCAATCATACCGTACACTGGCAACGGCCATTCCAGACCACCTTGAATTTCTGCCAGTCTGATGGAGACGACCTGGAGGCTAGGCGCGGCTCGACAATATTGCCTTGGGGCGCTCCCGGGTATCAAGTGTGTATATTGCATGGAACTGACCGTTGCTGCAGAAATCGATCAATGGAAGCAGGTGTTAAAATTTTGGTAACATGAACAAGTAGTAGATAAGCAGCAAAGTAAATCCCTTCACTTCCCTTCCCTTCCCTTATAGAAAGACATAGGACCAAAGGTAAGAAAAGAGAGTAAGGAAACTAACTAAACAAATCAAATTGAGTAAGATAAACAAGATGCATGCATGTATGTTTACTCACTCATGTAATGGAAGAGACCGAACCCTGCCGGACCCCATTTATCATCCCAGGCATCAGCGTACTGAGCAAATTCCTTCTGTTCGGCAGCTATCATGTCAGAGTCGATGAGTAATTGTTGGGCAGATTTGCCTCTGTCCATCTTGTCAACAACATCATCGCCTCTCTTGATGGGAACATGATGTGCAGGTTTGGGTATTGACTTGCCTGATACAGAGATATTTGATTCAATCGTCGACTCATTGGTATGATCTGGACCTGGCGCTGCCTCTGCCTCTGGCTCTGATTTGGAGTCGATCCTCGGCACCAGGTCCTCCATGGATGAAATGTCGCAGTCCATCTTGTCAACAACATCATCGCCTCTGTTGATGGGAAGATGATGTGCTGCAGGCTTGGGTATTATCTTGTCTGATACAGAGATATTTGATTCAATCGTTGAGTCATTGGTATGTGGACCTGTCGCCGCCTCTGCCTCTGACTCTGATTTGGAGTCGATCCTGGGCACCTGGTCCTCCATGTCGCAGTCCATGTGCTCCTCATCACCACCGCCGTCGACATTTTCCACCATCCGCTCCCTGCCATTAGCTGCATCACCATGCTCATCCAAGGCTGCTGCAGTTTCTTCAGTCAGGCTGCGGGCTTTGACAGCCCTCATCTGCTGCTGGCTCAAGCGCCTGATTTCATTCGTAACAAGCAGTTGCCGCTGCGCGTTGCGCTCCATCCTATCCAACAAATCTCGACTCTGCTCCTCCTTCTCCTTCATCAGTTGTCTCTGCTCGTCCTTGAGTTGCTTCTCCTCCTTCCTGAGTTCTCTGAGCAGAGCTTCATCCCTTCTGGGATTCTTGGTGCCACGAGAATCGGGGTTCCCAGGCCAGCGACAACTTGGGACTTGCCGGAATCCCCTTCCGCCTCCATCTCACTTGCCGTCCTCGCCTCGCCTTCTCCCCCGCCGCGGCGCGCCTTTCCTTGTTGGGATCTGGCTGAAAGGGCTCGCCGCCGCTCGCCTTCCCGTGTTGAGATCTGGCTAAGAAAAGGGCTCGCCGCCGCCGCCGCCGCCTAGCTTAGGGTTTCTATAAGAAAGAAAGAGGAATGGCTTTTTTTTTTGTTTCTGAGAAGATAATGAGCAACCGGTCGATCAGCCAGCCCGGAGAAATACTACTTATGTCCAAGTATGGCCCAGGTTGTGCCTTTCCTTTTTTTTCCCCAAACTAGGGTTTCTTGCGTCGCCACCGTCGTCGTCTAAGAAGTTCAGGTCCCCTCGCCTCCGGCTCATCTCGGCGTTGAGAGGTGGGGGGGCCTCGGATCTTCAAGACCTCTATGTTCTCCATCATCGTCTAGTGATCATTATAGTTTTGTGAGAATAAATTTTCTCTCCTTCTTTTGGCGGTGCATGAGGTAGATAGTTTTCTTTCCTCTCAGATCCGATTATTCAGATCGGATGAGTTTATGTTGCTGTGTCAAGATTTTTTGTTGACCTGATTCTCTGTGGAGATGAAATCTTTCATCGACAACATGGTGAACATATAGTGATCCGACGGCCTGCACTTCTAGGCGATCATCCCCAACCCAAGTACGTTCATCAATCAAGCCTTCCCATCTTTTTGGATGGGCGATGTGACGCCCGGATAATTAGACTACAGTAATCCCAAGCTAATGATGCCACGTCACCTCCGTTACTGTAATTAAACTCACGTTGATTCGAACCCGATTCAAGTTCAAATTTAAAACATAGGCAAACAACAAAAGTTTCCAAACTTTAAAACTAAAATGTTCGGAGTGAACTAAATAATGCATAGGTAATTATGGTGGAGAAACCAAACTTTGATAAAGTGTTTAAAGGTTCTAAGATAATTAAAACAATAGTTAAAACAATTAAATACATGCCTATTGAATTCTATAAAATATTAAACTACTTTGTTTTCGGTTGAGGATTAAGGTGGCAGTAGTATATTTATAAATACAAATTTAGGTGCTAGTGTGTATTTTTATAGAACTGTAATAAAAGGGAACTTAAAATAAAATAGAAAAGAAACAGAAAACAAGCAAACCAAAAAAAAAGGGAAGAACCCCCTCCCCTCACCTGGGCCGACTGGCCCAGCTGGCCACCGCGCCCCCTCCCCTTGGGCCTCAACCCATCTGGCCTACCCTGGGCGGCCCAGCTGGACCGGCCCACCTCACCCCACCTCACCTACTAACCCACCCAGGAGACACCGAACCCTAACCCACTCCTCCCACTCCTCACGTCTCTCCTCTCCTCGTCCCGATCTGGATCGGGTACGAGCGCCCCCTTCC